AATTCTTATATCGGGATATGAGATTTTGGTCATATCGCACAGCCCTAATTACCCCTCCACCACCGTGCTGACAGTTGGTATGCGCTGTTTGGTTTTCTCCAAACATGCTGCTGCACAATGTGGACAAACTTCTCCACTTTGGTCTCCTCTGTTCAAAGAACATTGTTATAGAAGTCGTGAGATTTGTTCAGATTCAGCTTTGCAAACCTTAACCCTGCTGCCATCTTCTCTTTTAGAGAGAAGCTTTCTCATTCAGACTTTTTCTAATTTTCTCATCAACATCAATTATTAATATTATTATTATTATCATAAATCAACTTACCTTCACTGCACAGTAATCGAAGAAGCCAGTCTCTGAGAAAATGGCCACCAGCACCATCTGTGTTGTCGAAAAGAAGAATTTTCCTTTAAGTAAGATTATGTCTCCCTGTGAGATTTCAGAAACGGCCCCCTAAGATGATAAGATGCTGTTTATCTTAGATGAGATGGTCAGAATGAAATATGTGCCTGAGTTCCAGGGTTCATTAATACTCTTCATTAACGTCTCTTTATTACCTTCCTTATTATCATCGCGATGAGTTCAAAAATGTTTTTACAGGTAAGCTCGAGGATTTCAAACTGCTTTTAAATGGATTCCAGAAATGTCTCAAACTCCCTCTTCATAATTTTATACCAAAACTGACATATTCAGGACATGTTTGTTTCCACGGAGACTGGATTTTTTTTTGTTGTTCGTTTCACTCGCCTCCATAGAAATGTATTTCGCTGTCAGACATTCAGAAGACTGATAGAAAGGGCGCAGAGCGCAGTTGAGAGAGTCAGAGAGCTCTTTTTCAATGCTCTGAGATTTGTTGAGTCAGTGAACATGTGAGGAGTTAATCACCATGCCAAACAGAAGAGCCAGCGTCTCATAGTCGATCCACTCCACCACTGTAACAAGGCTGGGTCTCTGTGGGAGAGACAAAGAATGTAATTACACAGATTTATCAAGAATTTCTGGATCTGAAGGGGAAAAAACAAAAGGACAAGGTTAATAAATGATGATCAGACTCGTTAACAGTGTTAAACTTTTGGGTACGGCTGTGTCTGAACACTGCTATAACTCCTCGCTGGCCCAGTTCCTGCTTCATTTGCCGAAGCAGACAAAAAAACAGGTGGAACTAGGAATGACTGCTCTGTTCCCAAAGCATCCCGCTGAGGTGAAAATGTCCACTACTCTCAAACTTAGACCAGTGGCTAAAATTGGAAACACATAGATGTTGATGAATGACAAACTTTGAAATTAATCATGACATTTCAGAAATTAATCCTGCAGTTTCCACCGATTTTGTCTGTATTGTGTGGCACAAAACTTACAACCAGTTTGCTTACACGCCTGAATAACTGTTCAACCGTAACTCAAATACATGAATCATATGTTAAAGCGTTCATAATATGTTCTGAATGTACCACTGCATCCCTAAAAAATCAGTAAAATCAAATAACGAAAGAGACTTACATTCCCGATGATGGACAGAGCAGCTAAGGCTGCCAAAGATCCCAGCATGGCAGCCAGGGTGCGGTGCACAATCTGAAAGGACAAAACATTTACCACACTCACTTCTAAACAAACGAGCACTCACCTTCACATTAACTCTGTAAATATTTTTTAGCAGTGGAACATTCCTGTTCTTTCTGATGCCGTCTCAGTCATCTCTCGACTGATCTGTGAGGCATGTCTGGAGGAAGGAATGGTTTGGAAAAAAACTTCTGCAGGCATTTCTTGAAAACGTTTATTGTTATACAGTAGGAGTCACGTGCCTGGCTCTTTTGTCCATCTGCATCACCATCCTCCTGTGGCTTTGACTAATGAAAATAATAATCCTAATGTGAAAAAGAACACTGTTTTTTAGGACATTTTAAATACAAATTAGTCTGTTTTGTTGGTAAATAAAATACTTCTTCATTTTAATTTTTTAATTTGAGGGAAAAGGGCAGAAAACAGTATTAGCGCTCCAAACAATCACAACTAGGCAGGCAAACACTGATAATTATTTACATCTGTTATTCTTGTGTGTTCTTTTTGATTTATTGTTACAGAGGAGGTCTTCTGTGAGGTTTTCTGCTGCTAGCATTACTGATATTATTCTGAGGACTATTATACATAAGAGAAAGCACCTGTGTGAATGACAGCTGCAGCGACTGGGATGAGGAGTCAAGAAAGTCTTGTGATCCATAAGATCTATAATGTTCTGTCATTTTCATCTAGGGTGAACTATCAAAGGTCGAGAAAATATCACATACAAGTCCACAGTGCTATTCAGAGGCGCTCATCACCACACACGCAAAAATATAATGCATCTTAAAATGAGGCCGTGATGAGCACAGATGATCCTTTAACATTTCATGTTGTGTTCAAAGGAGAGACGCTTGTTATTTTGGGATTTAACAATAACATTTGTGTGAATTATTTATTATGTAGAACAACTACTGTGTATATAGTGAATATAGAAAGCAAACTGTTTAACGATGAAAACGCTGCTTCTTTTTTTTTTTT